TTTCCCTCCCCACCCTTATCTGCTTTCCGGAGGGACCACTCTCTCCGGGACTCCCTTGTCTGCTCCACACTCCCCTCCAGCCCCACCCCACCTGGCACTTTTCCCTGCAACCGCAGGAAGTGCTACACCTACACCTCCCCCCTCACCGCCATCCCAGGCCCCAAGAAGACTTTCCACATCAAGCAGATGTTCACCTGCACATCTGCTAATGTGGTATACTGCATCCGCTGTTCCTGTTGTGGCCTCCTCTACATTGGGGAAACCAAGCGGAGGCTTGGGGCCCGCTTTGCAGAACACCTACGCTCGGTTCGCAATAAACAACTGCATCTCCCAGTCGCGAACCATTTCAACTCCCCCTCCTATTCCTCAGACGACAATGTCCATCCTGGGCCTCCTGCAGTGCCACAACGATGCTACCTGAAGGTTGCAGGAACAGCAACTCACATTCCGCTTGGGAACCCTGCAGCCCAATGGTATCAACGTGGACTTCACAAGCTTCAAAATCTCCCCTCCCCCATCCCAAAACCAGCCCAGCTCATCCCCACCTTCCTAACCTGTCCTTCCTCCTACCTATCCCATCCGCCCACCCCAAGCCCCACCCCCATCTCCTACCTACTGACCTCATCCCGCCCCCTTGACCTGTCCGTCCTCCCTGGACTGACCTATCTCTTCCCTACCTCCCCACCTACACTCACCTTTACTGGCTCCATCCCCGCCTCTTTGACCTGTCTGTCTTCTCTCCACCTATCTTCTCCTCTATCCATCTTCTATCCACCTCCCCCTCTCTCCCTATTTATTTCAGAACACCTTTTCCCTCCCCCATTTCTGAAGAAGGGTCTAGGCCTGAATCATCAGCCTTCCTGCTCCTCTGATGCTGCTTGGCCTGCTGTGTTCATCCAGCTCTACACCTTGTTATCTCTGTTTTAAATTTAAATGTGTTTTGTTTCAAACGATACTCATTTATTGGAAAATGAAATAAATCCCCTTCTGTGATTTGTTTAGTAGTGACCCTAACATATCAGTAGGTCCAAATCAAGCTATCTTGCTTGATTCAAATTTTAAAAGAAGCCAACTGAAAAGCCATAAATCATGGCTCCAGCATATATTACATGCTGATTTCATAGAATCCCCAGAGTAAGGAAGCAAGCCATTTGACCCATCAAGTCCACACTTACTCTCCAAAGAGCATCCCACCCTCTTGACCCTGCATTTACCATGGCTAATCCACCTAGTCTACACATGCCCGGACACTATGGGCAATTTAGCATAGTCAATCCATCTAACCTCCGTCTTTGGACTGTGGGAGAAAACTGGAGCACTTGGAGGAAACCCACGCAGACACTGGGTGACTGTGCAAACTCCACACAGACAGTCACCCATGGGTGGAAATCAACCTGGGTCCCTGGCATGAGAGGGAGTAGTGCTAACCACTAAGCCACCAAAGTGCTTTAACTTAGCTGTTCCTATCTCCCTATTTGGATCTTTTGATATTGGTTTGAGAAGTAATAGAATGATGCAGGATTGTAAATGCTTGTTTTCTTTCGTGAATGTACACAGTCAACCATGCTAAGAATCAATACTCTCCATTTTAGTGAATTAAAGTGCAAATCCAGTAGAAACGGGCATTTGTTCTGCTTTTTAGTGACTTACTTGTACTGCAGTATCAGCTAGCATTCTTTCTTCAGAGTAATGTTGTACAAGTGTCTATAAATTGCATAGAAACCCTGTGAAATATATTGATAATTATGACTGAACAACTGATTTGGAACAAAGTAACTACTCACATCTGCAAACATTGAATAGGTTTCTATGTATGTTGTTGAATTCCTAGTAACTAACAAATTTCCAAAATACTAGAACTGTAAGATTAAAAACAAAATGCTGAAAATACTCTGCTGAGGCAGCATTTCTCGAGAGAAAACATTTCAGGCTGATGTCCTTTTTCGTCAGAATATTTTTAATATTGTACTTCAGTAGCTTGAGTTATGGACAGCAATTTTTTTCTTGATACATTTAATTTGCATACTTTGAGGAAAAATCAATATTTTACTCCTATCATCCATGAAAATTATATGGTCTTCGTTTCTTATGAAAGTACTCCAAACTAATTATGTTACAAATTAATATTGGAACTTAAGACAACAGCCATAATGAATAAAATAGGACTGCAGAGTTCTGAAGTAATATTTTGGGAACTCGGGTATTCAATTTTCATTTCTTTGTTTCTTTCCTTGATTCTTGCTTGGCTTGTTCTGATTTGATCTGTATTAGGAATGGAACTTTGTAGAATCAACCGGTTGTGCTTAATCCTCTTTGTCACTTTTAAAGAAATATTGCAACTGAAGTTTTGAAATTCTTGCAACACGAAACTACATATTAAAGCTGTAATATTAAATACAATTTATTGTAAGAGAATTTTTTGAACTATGAATTTGGCAAAATGATATGCTTCCCATAATACCAGCCGTGATCTCTGTGCTACATTCTGCTACTTAACTAGATTGTCTTGGTTTGTGCCCTACCTGTTTGAAAGATTCTGCTGCCGTCTGTTAGATGCAAAGTCACTATCAGTGGAGGGGGTACCATAGACAGGGTTGCAGGACTCACACTGGTATCTGACGTTTTCCAATCAAACAATTTTGAAGTTTTTAACCTAGTTTATTAAGTAACTTGGTAAAAGCCAGAAGGGTAAAATGCTTGGATATCCTTATTGCTGGCCATTGCTTCAAACCAATGATGTGGTTTCTCTGCTAGCCACAAAATACTAGCAGAATACTTTTCTAAGTGATGAGGGGGTAACCTGGGATGATAGGTGCACTCAGTTTCTTCAGTATTTAGGAGAATTGCTCCTGCCTCCGCTCTGCAGTCCAGCTTCATTCTTTGCCCCACCCCCGAATGCCTTGTTACAATATAGAATTTGCCATGTTGGATCTTGAGATTCAAAGCATTCTTGTACCACTTACAGTGCCAGTGAGGAACGTTAATTGTTTCGTATTGGCTGTCCTTCCGATAAGTCATACCAACTTGCTTTCTGCTATGAAATCATGTTCACTTCAATAAACAACATATAAAGCAACATTATCAAAATTTTCAGTTATTCCACACTTCATTATAGGAGCTTCGTCCTCTCTTGTTATACAAGAACAATTGTAGATCTTCATATAGCTTCACAGTGACTAGTATTTTGTCAACCCCCATGATTTATTCAAGAAGCACTGATGGTGGTTTATATATTCAGCAATTAAATCTGTGTAAGCCACTTGCACAAGAAATCAGTTATGCAGAGATAACAAGGTGTAGAGCTGGATGAACACAGCAGGCCAAGCAGCACCAGAGGAGCAGGAAGGCTTTCTCCAGCATCTGCAGTTCCTACTGTCTCTGAAATCAGTTATGCACGTGAGTTTTCAAGTCTCATCTCCTTTGTAAATCTTATGAATTTATATTGTATCTCAGCAATGATTGGAGATTTATACAAAACGAGTGTTAAAGATTTGAGTGAATTCTCATCTCTTACCTGCTAAATTCATCTATTTATGCTAGTAAAATTGTTGACATTTTGAAGAAGTTCCTTGCCTAAAAGTATTTTCTTTAAATACTACTCACCTTTTGGATTTGTTCACTTCGATTGACTTGAACATGGGCTCTTTTAGCCTTAAGGTTTACTTTGTTTGGGGCTCTAGAACGCAACCTGCAAGCATTGGAAAAACATTATTTTTTATTTTGCATCTCAGTGTCACCCTAAAGAGTCTAAAATTATTTAATTACAATTAATTACACTGCAAGCTTTTGTTAAGTAGGCAATTCTTGCCTTTTAAAAATAGGCAAAGTGAAAACAGCATCATTGATGCATGGGAGGAGGCTTTTCAGACCACGATAGTCTATACTGGATCCTTGCAGCAATCTTAAAATAATCCCACTGATTTTAATACTTTGCTTACTATTTCAATTTATTTAGGTTCTGATTGGATGTTGATAGACTCTAGCATTTATCAAATAGCCATTTGTCCCAATCATAGCTGTACAGCATGAAAACAGCCCCTTCGGTCCAACTCGTCCACACCGACCAGATATTCTAAATCGATTTAGTCCCGTTTGCCAGCATTTGGCCCATATCCCTCTAAACCCTTCCTATTTGTATACCCATCCAGATGCCTTTTAAGTGTTGTAATTGAACCAGCCTCCACCACTTCCTCTGGCAGCTGCCAGACTTGCTGGGCTTTTCCAGCATCTTTGTTTTTGTTCTTCTGGCAGCTCGCTCCACACATGCACCACTCTGCGTGAAAAAGTTGCCCCTTAGATCCCTTTTAAATCTTTCTCCTCTTACCTCAAACCTATGCCCTCTAGTTTTGGGCTCCCTGACCCCAGGGAAAAGACCTTTGTCTTTTTACCCTATCCATGCCCCTCATGATTTCATAGACCTCTATAAGGTCACCCCTCAGCCTCTGACGCTCCAGGAAAAATAGCCCTGGTCTATTCAGCCTCTCCCTATAGCTCAAACCCTCCAACTCTGGCAACATCCTTGTAAATCTTTTCTGAACCCTTTCAAATTGCACAACGTCCTCTCTATAGCAGGGAGACCAGAATTAGATGCAGTATACCAACAGTGGCCTGGCCAATGTCCTGTACAATGGCAACATGACCCCCCAACTCTTATGCTCAATGTACTGACCAACAAAGGCAAGCATACCAAATGCCTCCTTCATTATCCTATCTACCTGCAATTCCACTCTTAAGGAACTATGGACTTGCACTTCAAGGTCTCTTCATTCAGCAATACTCCCCAGGACATTACCACTAATTAACCATTTTTAAACAACTGTATCTAGCGCTATATATTTACTCAACTATATGGAGTCCTTGCGTCATGGACTGTTGCAGATTTCAACAGCTTCCTGTAAATGATAGATTTGGATAATTTAAAAATATGTTCTGGTGATTGACTGACAGATCTGTGCAAACGTGAACCTATATGTTTCGAGCATCCATGATTTAAAAAAAAACTGATACAAATCAGAGCTTAACTCATTTTTGTTTTCCAAGTTTCAGATAGTGAAAAAACGTAGATTCCCCAAAAATGTATTTCCATTACTGAGCACTGCATATTTTCAGAGGTCTTGTGGTTTAATAGAAGATAGGTATGGACCATTGACAGAATTTGCCACAAATAGTTTTGAATTTTGATTTTTTTTCCTGAATGGAAAGTATTTGGAAATATCATATTTAAATGTTAAAGTTTAAAATATTCTTTCAAGAAAGAAGCATGGTAGGTGATATGGTAAAGAGCTATCTTTACTATATTAAAGAATAAAAATGCAGTTACATAACATTTGTTGGTAGTACTATTTCTGGAGCCACTTCTTTTAAAATCTGAGGATGCAGGCCATCTTGTCAGCTTTTTAGGCCCACAATTTTTCCCTCATGATGATTGTTTTAAATTACACTCATTCACTTCCTGATTTGAGTTGTATCTTAGAAAACTCCTCAAAGTTCAATAGTGAAGACCTGTTAACCCCTCCAACATTTCCTTTTCTCTTATCAATTCCCACTCTAGAAAACCAACATTAATTTTAGTTTCTATTTTCCTATTTAAATACCTGTAGAAACTCTTATTGCCAATTTTATATATTAACTAGCTTTCATACTGTACTTTGTCTTTTCTTTGCTGGTTTATAAAAGATTACCAATTTTCTGACATAGCTATAGGTTTGACAAAATTCATTCAAATTTGATAGCATCCTTACCCTCCTCATTTAGCCAAAATTATGCTGCCAGCTTGGTCCTTTTTTTCACTAGGATGAAACTTTGTTGAGAGTTGTGAAATATCTCCTCTCATTTAAAGTATACCAATGCATTTCTTCTATCCTACAGTGTAACTACTGTTTAGGGGGCCCATGAAGTACAGCCACATTTTTCTCTATCCAAAACAATTCTAGATTATACTAATTCTTGCTTTTTTTAAAGCTAAAGTCACCTCTCTGTATTGTGCTAAAGACCTCAATTAACAGAGCCACCCACCATATTTTCCACGGCACCAATCTTTTTGAAATTTCAAATACTCTTCAATAGTCAAGTCCCAGCCTTAATCACTCTGCAACCATCAAGTTATATGTATTTATTTCAAACTGTGCTAACAATTCATCCATTTTGTTATGAATACTGCATGACTGAAATATAGACCCTTTAACTCTAACCATTTTTTCAATCTCTGGCTTTATTTGCAAGTACACAGTTATGTTTGTATTCTGTCCCTTCCTTCCAAATATTGGTTATCATTATCCAAATCACTACCCTGGTCTATTACGTACATAAAGCATAGAATAATACAGGACAAGAACAGGCCCTTCAGCCCACCATGTCTGTGCCGACCATGATTATTGGTTTAGTAACTTCATCATTCTTGAATTAAAATCCAAAGCTCTTTCTGACTGGCACGGAGTGTACTGCACCAAATGAAAACAACAGTTCAGGAAGGCAGCTTGTGACCACCTTCCCTAGGCAATTATAAATGGCCAAAGAATGCTGGCCTTGCCAGCAACTCTCATATCCCATGAAAGAAGAAAGAAAGTTTATCTGGTAACAGTTTAAGTTAATAAATACAAACAATATCAAGAACAAACAAGGTACCAATTAGCAATGAGTTAAAAAAAAACAGGAAATCAATTAATCAAATTCTTCAATTGATTTCTTGAAAGCTCATGAATGAGCAGGTATCATGGAATCATCCAATCGAGTTTAACAAATGATCTTAAGGTATTTACAATCAACATTTCCCTATTTCCATACCTCATTGACCACATCTCTCACTTGACCCCTTTCCCCCCACTATTCTGTTTAAAGCCATCTCTACTGCCCTCGTTATGATTTGCCAGAGCACAGTTCAGGTGAAACCCATTTCAACAGTACAGCTGCGAACTTTTCGCAGTACTGCTGCCAATGCCCCATGAATCAAAATCCATTTCTTCTACACTTGAGCCACATACTCATCTCACTCACCTTATTTGTCCTATTCCAGTTTGCTTGTAACTCAGGTCATCTTGGGATTATTACTAACATTGAAGCTAAATTTGAAAACAGAATTCTATCTGATCATGAGATCTTTTTCTGATCTTTTTCTGATCTGATCTTTTTCTGAAGAAGGGTCTAGGCCCGAAACATCAGTTTTCCTTCTCCTCTGATGCTGCTTGGCCTGCTGCGTTCATCCAGCTCTACACCTTGTTATTTCTATCCGATCATAATCTCCAAGTGTAACCTCTTTCCTAATCTAATTTACGTCATTGCTACCCATGTGTGCCAAGATAACTGGATCATCCCCCTCCCACTGCAAGTTCCTCTCCAACCCAGAGCAGATATCCTGATCCCTGGCACTGAGCAGGCAGCACAGCATTCTAGACTCATCCTCCAGACTGTACAGAACTGTGTTCATCTCCCTGACTCTACTGTCCTTACCACCAGAATGTTCCTATTTAGTATTCATACTTGAATGGCTCCCTGCACCATGTTGCCAAGGTAATTTCCTCATTCACTTTGCAGCTCCAGTCCTCATTATGCAAACTGCAAGAATCTCAGTCCCAATGGACAGTTGTAAGGGCTGAAGCTCCTCCACTTATTCCTTCTCAGTCCCCAGAGCTTTCAGTCCTGTGTAATTTGTATACCAAATGTTATGGTGGGTATAAATGTATTCACATGAACATAGCATTAGATGTCTTCTGGATATTCTGGAAAACGTTGACCAGTCTACACTAAAAGACGTGAGAAATATGCTATCTCTAGCTCATATCTCTTCAGTTTTATCATATGATGATATTGGGCAGCAGGAGTGTACTTCTGAACATAAGACACTAAGACCACTTGTATGAGTAATCCAACATTCTGGTTCTGAGAAAATAACAAAGGCAGATCTGAAATTGGTTAACCTTCTCATTCCCAGCCTAATGGGCATTCTTTAATCAAGACTTGGACTAACAGGTCAGTACTACGCAAAATAAATATTCACAACAAATCAACTACCCATCTTTAATTCCACAACATTCTTGGATACAATAACAAGGAATGGGAATAAAGCAGGGAAATTAGTGTAAAATACACAAACCTCCAGATGCTGTCCCCTATGATGGGGAGGAAATGTGGTCTTCCAGCTTGTAAAGTTGGTGACTGCTTAGAAAAGCTGTGAGCTGTTGATGACCTGCTGCTGCTTTGCTTCCAGGTTTCTTTGTGGGACTGTTTTGTGAGATAATCAGTGTACTTCTGACATTCACGTGGGGTTATATACCCTGGTGTTGACAAATGAGAACACATGATTGAACATGTTGGACCTTCAAATTATTAAAATTGTGAAATTTTATTAATTATAGCTCCACATTTTTTCAAAATCAATTTAAAGGGTAAAACTCTGCTGAAAGTATCCTGATTACTTCACTCTAGCTGATACCTTTTCCTACTCTTAGCTAGGATGGAGTGCTGCAGTTCAGAGATATACTGCAACCATGCACATAGTTATATAATTTGCCCAGTCAGTAGCCTTTTTAGGGAAAATTTTTCAAAATTGAACATTCTAAATTTAAGTTCAAATATTTCTTAGTCTTCATCTCTTCTTACTTAAATTGAAATTTGCTTCCTATTCCCTCTTTTAACTTTGTCTTCCACATTTCTTACATTCTCTTTAAACTCAGATCAAATTTTGCCTACAAAAAGGTCCGAAGAAGAAAGTTCTGAGGAAGTGTCACTGGACTCGAAACGTTAACTCTGATTTTTTCTTCACAGATGCTGCCACACCTGCTGAGCTTTTTCAGCAACTTCTATTTTTGTTCCTGAAGAAGAATCAGATCTGACTCAAAATGTTGATTTAGTTTCACTCTCCACAGATGCTTCAAGACTTGAGTTTCTCCAGCACTTCGTTTTTTTTTTATTTTGGATCCGAGCATCTTCAGTACTTTGCTTTCATTTTGGTCAAGCTTTGATACAAAATGTTAGACAATAGAATCATGAATTTTTAATCATCATAAAATACTTAAATACTTTCTGCTTACCAAGCTGGATACGATGTTGCAACATGCTTAAGTATTGTTTCTGCATCAGCCTGTGCATGTGATCTGTGCTGTAGATGTTAGCAATACTATATAGATAGCGCTTCTGGCCTGTTTTCAAATCTGGATGCTGGAATACAGTACGTAAATTGTCACTGAACATACCATTTTAAAAAAAAACAATAATGTTCAAGTACACCAAATTAAACAATTTTGAATTAAACCTAACTGGCCAATTTTTGATCAACTCAGATTGACATTGTTCTGTCCATCAATAAAGATATTGGTGAGTGTATACAGAAGGACAATTTCCCTCAATGTGTGTTTACATCTTTCACTTCAAGAACATGACATAGTGAAATGAATGTGAAACATTAAGTGGAGTGAGTATAGTGTCCATATTTGGTTAGATTTTGTTGCATAACAAGATGCAACAAACAATAAGAATTTGTGACTAATTAATACATTTTTGATGATAATGGCTGACAGAAGAATGTTGACGCATACATCAATAGAATTGCCTGCTGTCCTATGCAAAGTACCAATGGATCTTTTTAATCATACACTGAAGGTACTAAAGCATGCAGATGTGGTATCCTTTTAACAATACTGCACTTCCTCAGTGCTTCTAAATCAGCTTAGATAGCAAGCTCTTACCATCAGCGGTTTCCCAGTCTGAGTGCAGGGAAAAAAAAAATCAAACTACAAAAAAATTTATTGTTTCCTGGATTGTAGTGTTGGTACAACTTGAAGTGCACCAAATAAAAAATGAAATAAAACACTTGGTAGAAAATAAGATGAACTGTAAAAGTAGAACACTACATAGATGTATAAAAATCCTTGAACAAATAATTTGGTCAACCTCCAGTGCATGAATAACAATGGGAAATGTCTGCTTTTCCCATTTACTCTAGAGGTGAGATTATAATCCCTCAGCCTGCTACAAAAACAAAGTACGGATTTTATCAGAGATAGTTGGAACTGCCGATGCTGGAGAATCTGAGATAACAAGGTGTAGAGCTGGATGAACACAGCAGGCGAAGCAGCATCAGAGGAGCTGGAAAGCTGATGTTTCGGGTCTGGACCCTTCTTCAGAAATGGATTTTTTCATTTAGCTCAAGGCCACAGAAAGTTCACACAAGTTCACATATAACTTTTGAGAATACCTGCTACATTCCAGATACGGTACTTGGATCTGAATTAATCATCAACTGAGCAATTCTTCACAAAATAATTCTAAAAAATGTCTGAATCCAGAAGAAAAACATATGATATTACCCAGAGGTTATGACATAACAAGAACAGCTGCCAATCCAAGTATATTTCCAATGACAACAGAAGTTTCCATTTGACCTCAGGACCTATTTAATTAACTTCTCTACTGGAGCAGACGGGGTGGCACAATGGCTCAGTGGTCAGCACTGCTGCCCCACAGCACCAGGGACCCGGGTTCAATTCCACCCTTGGGCAACTGTCTGTGTGGTGTTTGCACATTCTCCCTGTGTCTGCATGGGTTTTCTCCGGGTGCTCCGGTTTCCTCCCACAGTCCAAAAATGTGCAGGCTAGGTGGACTAGCCATGGAAAATTGCCCATAGTGTTGAGGGATGTGTAGATTGGGTGGGTTATAGGGGGACAGGTCTGGGTGGGATGCTCTGAGGGTCGGTGTGGACTTGTTGGGCCAAAGGGCCTGTTTCCACATTGTAGGGATTCTATGATTCTATTACAGAGTATTTGAATAAAAGGTTTGGGAAAGGATAGGCCAAGACAGCATAAATCCAAATACCCACCACTTTCCCAGAAAATATGCTAATACACTATAAACAAGTAGATGGATAATATAGAAATGTACTGCACCAGTACTCTTATACTACCTTTACAACTATTTTAGCTACTATGCAAAATAAGAGCAAAATTAAAATATATGAAGGGCTGCATGTATGTAACATGTTACATTCTTAGGAGACCTTTAACCACTTTGTCAATTAATTTACTGTCATGTGGACAAAACAGCAGCTAATATGTATACAACAAGATCAGACAGGTAACAATAAATTTAAGGACCAGTTAAACTATATTTGTGGAGTTGGTTTAGGGAGATCTTTTGACAAATCAGCAGCTCCTCACTCATCTTTGAATAGTGCCATGGATTTGTTTATGTACACCTGGACAAGCAGGCCGAAGCATGATTTAATATTCCACTCTAAAAGTAGTGCACGTGCACGTGCACGCATGCACACACACACACACACACACACACACACACACCTCACTCTCTACGTTGCACTGAAGGGTCAATGGAGATTATATACTCAAATTCTGCAGAACAATGAATTTTAGTCCAGGGGGGAAAGTGTTACTATTGAATCAAGGTTGACATTTTGTGAATTTTTGCAAATAGTGCAACTGATTCACTTTGCCGCATCTATTGAATTATTTCTCTAAACACTTATAAATATTTTAAAATATTGAACAATGCATTTTATTAGCCATTAAGTTTGTAAGATATTAACTAGCACTAACTTGTATTTATACAGTGTCCCAGTGCACAAAACAAAATATATAACAAGGGCACATAAGGAGATACTAGGTCTGACGATCAAATTCTTGGCCAAAGCATAGGTGTACAGGTGGAAAGCATATAGACAGGTACAAGGAGGGAATTCCTGACTTTAGACCTAGACAACTGAAATCCTGGCCATCGATTGTGTTGGATTTAAAATCAAGGTGCACAAGAGGCCATAATTAGATTAACAGAGATATTTCTGAGGATCGTTGAGCAACAGAAGGTTATAAAGAAATGAAGGATGAGGCCAGGGAGAATTTGAAAACAACAATGAGACTTTTAAAATCAATATATTGGTTGACTGACTGGGGAGTAATTGAGATAAATAGACACAGGGATGATAAGTAAACAGAGCTTAATGTCAGTAAAGGCAGGATACCACAGTTTTGGATAGTATCAAGTTTCCACAGAATTGAAACCAGTTGTGCAAGGGGAAAGTTGATATTAACAGTTATCAGAATGGATGCAGAGGATATTCACCAGGATGTTGCCTGGGCTGGAGTGTTGCAGCTATGAAGAGAGACTAGACAGGCTGGGGTTGTTTCCTTTTGAGCAGAGAAGGCTCAGAGGGGACCTGGTTGAGGTCTACAGAACCATAAAGGGGCATAGACAGGGTAGAAAGGAAGAAACTTTTCCCATTAGTAGAAGGGTTAATTAGCATTGGCCATTAAGGCAAGGGGTAGGAGGTTTGGAGGGAATTTAAAGAAGACTTATTTTACCCAGAGAGTAGTGGGTATCTGGAACTGGCCAGCTCAAGGAAGGCACTCAAATCAGCGGAGGACAAAGGAAGTATTTCAAAGACTTCCTGAAGGCTTCCCTCAAGAAATGCAACATAGATGTCAACACATGGGAAATCCTTATTTAGAAGAAACCAACATGAAGAAACCTCCTGTATGAAGGGACACAATTCTTTGAGATCACCCATCAGCAGGAGGAATGATAGAAAAAAACATTGGAGAAAATGACAGCGATCTCAAGGCCAAGGACCAATTCCACCTGCCAGAAAAAGCTGCCAAATATCTGGTCAGAGATGCAGCTCTAGAGTCGGACTCATCAGCTACACAAGGAGCCACAGAACCCATAATGATTGACATGGAATTTCCTAGGTGGACAATCATACTCGTTAGCAAGTGATTGCTGACAGTGATAACGGAAGAATTATTTTACCCAGAGGGTGGTGGGTGTCTGGAACTCACAGCCTAAATGAATATTAGAGGCAAGAACCATTGCAATATTTAAGAAGTATTTGGATGAATATTTGAAGCACCATAGCATACAAAGCTTCAGATCAAAGTGGGACTACAGTAGATTGGTGCTTGATGACCAGCATGGATACAATGAGCCAAGAAAACTATTTCTGTGTACAACTCTATGACTCTGTGACTTAGGTGAGGGAGGTGCAAAGTTAAGAAAGCACAAACAGATAGACATCATGAATATAGGTTATCTCAGGGTCAAATTTGACTCCAAGGTTCCAAGGAGTCCAATTTAATTTCAGTTGCCAGGGAGAGGGATGGGGTCAGTAGCTAGGGAACAGAATTTACAACAGGAACTAAACACAGTGGCTTCAGTCTATTCAATATTATTTGTAGGAAATTTATGTTCATCCAGTACTAGATGTTGAATAAGGAATCTGATAATTCAGCAACTGTGGAGAAGCTAAGATAGGTGGTGATAAAATAGCACTGGGTGTCATCAGAAAACACTGTCCAAATCATCCTGAAAACGACAAGGTTACTTGGCAAAAAGCAATGATCCTATTTTGTTGACCAAGATTGCTGAAGATTGGCACCTTCACAGAAATAGCACTGAATGGGTTGCTAGGCGAGTGTAGTTACACAAGTTAAAAGTAAGCTCATTAAAATGGATGAAGTTGTTCTGCAAGCTTAGAAAAGTCAATAATGCTGAAGAACAGAAGCGTACTTTATAATACAGCTTTCTCAGCAATTCCAACCCTTGGGTTTTCCTCTGCCTTTTCTGGAAATACTGTTGTGTTTTCTAGTTAAGTAGTAATTGCAATGCTTTAATGTCATAAGTTATGAGCAGTCAGCCTAGGCAGAAGCCTATCATCTTTATTCTTTTAATGAGCCACTGAATATAAGACGCAGTCAACTGATAATTTTAAAAAATGTCATTGTTGCACCAAAATAATAAGGTTTGAAGTTTGATCTTTTACAGCTGCCTATTTTTACATATTAAAAGCATCAAGGTCCATGGGGATAGTGGCTGAAAATGGTTTTTTTAAGTTGATCATTCGTGTTCTTGTTGAATGGCCTATTCCTATTCTTATTTCTTTTGTAGTTTTCTTTGTTTTTAAGTCTTGTAGTTTTATAAAAAAAAGTCATTTTGTTGAAATTTGGTTGAATTGAGAAAGATGATAGATATTGTGCCTCCATTTGGAAGTTAAATTAGTGGTGTTTCATAAGTTGATGGAATAAGATTTCTTCCCTCTAATTTTACAGAGCGATTAGCAGTAATATAGAAAGTTCAAATGTAGTTTGCAAATGGTTATGACATATAAGAGAAACTAAATAATTGCCTGCAGAATACAAAGTAATAGCAAATATTTCCTGTTATGAAAGGACCAGTCTTATGTGAATGTCACATATGATACAGATGTACTTTCTTTAAAATGTTGTATGAGATTATCAGGGAATAATTTATCAACAATTGTTTTGCTGATTTATTTAACAATATATTGTAATGGTAGGACTTGTACAATTGTATATTTGAGCAGACCTTGCTATCAAAATATGTAGCTATACAAAAATTTGGCAGATGCTGAAAATCTGAAATAAGAACATACGTTGCTGAAAATACTTAGCAGATCTAGCAGCATTCATGGGGAGAAAGGAACAAGAGTCAAAGATTCAGATCATTTAACACCGTTTCTTTCTCAAAGATGCTGCCAGACCTGCCAAGTTATTCAGCATTTTGTTTTTATTATGCTTTTACAAAAAGTTGATTAATAGCTGGAAATAACCATCTAGACTTGAATTCAAGATCAGAAGTCACATGACACCAGGTTGTAGTCCAACAGGTTTATTTGAAATTACAAGCTTTTGGAGTGCTGCTCCTTCGTCACTTCACCTGATGAAGGAGCAGTACTCCAAAAGCTTGTGATTTCAAATAAACCTATTGGACTATAACCTGGGGTCGTGTGACTTCTTACTTTGTCCACCCCAGTCCAACACCTCCACATCATGAATTCAAGATGTTTAAATTTGCAGTTCAGTAAGGAAAACAGAATTTGTGGTGCAACAGCCAAAAATGTTTGGATTGTTTGAATCAGATGACCAGCACATTGAAACACAAGGACTTTAACAGTCAAGCACAAGAAAAGATGACAATGGCTCGTGTGGATGGGTGTTAATGCTAACATCCTCCAGCTAAAGAAGCTGAAAAAGAAGTAGACAGTGCACCCTCCTGTCCAGTAACCTAAAGGGAATCTGTTTTGGATTATAAACTGACTAAACACTTTAATGTATTGATCTCTGCTGTGTGCCTACTAAAGATTTCCTGTAACTAATAGATGTAAAGTTCAAATTCTTGAATTCTGATAGTTTAAATGTATTTGTTTTATAGAAATCTGCATGTGTGGAGATGTCAGGCAAGGACAAAAGTCATCTAGACTCAAAACATTAGCTTGCTGTCTCTCCATGGATGCTGCCAGACCCGCTGTGATTTCTAACATTTTGTTTTCATTACAGATTCCAGCATCTGCAGTAATTTGCTCCCACAATACGAAGGTTGCCTGAGATACTGTCTATGGTTAAAACACGTGCAGATTGTCACTGTTAGGGCGCAAATGTTAAATGGACTAGATCTTGCTGAATAGTGTTAATGATGCACCCATTTTTGATGGTAACATGGCCAGAAAGTTCAGAAGGTTAAGCAAAAATCAATGAGTTGTAAATTTCCATAACGGGCTGGTTGACTTATACCACCCCACAAAGGGATCTCGTGGTATCGTGGTCATGTCCGTACTTATGGTCTGGAAGGTCCGGGTTGAAGTCTTAGCGAGCCAGAGGTGTGTTATAATATGTCTGAATAGATTAATTAAAAAATACTTTTTTACACCACTCCACAATTTGTTTTGTGCAAATGGCATTTTGTTATGTGCCTCCCCTACTATGTTTAAGAATTTGCTGCATTAAACCTCATTTATTTAAACTCACCATAGAAAATTAAAATATGTAATTAAGAGCATATCACTTATTAAATGCCACGATGTTTACAAACACATACCAATCAACCTCTCTAGTCTAAAATGGGAACAATATAAAGCATTTAATCTCATTTCTGCACATTGTCAATTATTGTTAGTGATTTAAAAAGTCAAAGTTTAATTTTATTCTCTTAATTTTCCTGATACTTACCTGTCTGAATCCAATCTTTATTTCACCCTCTATTTCTGTATCTGAATTCACCCATTCCGATTCACTTTCTTTTCTGATGTTTCTTTGGTTCTTTCTCCATCTTTAAATCTCATTAAAGAGATTCTCTAGTTCCACAGTTGACAAAGGTCTCAGATGGCCAGCTGCCCTCATCAGAATGTTAACAGCTCACACTTAAAGTATTATGACAAAGAAAGAATTTTGACATGCATGATGCAGCAAAATGGTACAATGCTCCAGCAAGGTCAGGCCAAATATCAAGTGATTGAAGTTGAACAGTGACTAAGTCCTAGAAAGCAACTAATACCTTCAGGAAAAGGAGAATATTGGTCAGCAAAAAGAAAATGCATAGCTCACACTGTGAGAATATTAAAATATACCAATCATAGGGGTGATATTAGCACATCAGGCCCATCACACCTATAGCAGCTCTTTAAAAGAGCTTTTACACTGACTGCTATAAATTGCTTTTCATGTTTTACATTACCGTATGCTGTTGGGTGTTTAGCACCCTGGTAGGTTCTTATGTTGTGAAAAACTCTTTACAACTGCAATTTTCTAGGAAAGGTGAAGATGTGGCATTAGACTGCCAGCTTATCCTACTGCACAAGGCAGGCAGAGCAAAGATCAGTGCTTTTATCAACAGTATGAAGGCCCAGCAGCAAAAGCTAGACTTCGCCCCAAGATCCTAATACGCAGTAGTCCAACATTAACAGAACTCAATCCTTTAATCAAAGTAATATTTATTTCTTTGAGTTTGGACCTGATGGAGACAATATACAATTATACATCCTCCACTACCCCTGTTAATTGTTTAAATCCATGCAGTTGGTGTGTATTAGCTGCCTAGTCACTTAAATCTATTTAAATAGACAGACTAAAATTGTTGTTTTTGGGCTAGGAAGTAAACGCTTGCAATATATAACACCATAAACAAATACAAAATTGTGTAAAAGAACAGCAGATTCTATCCATCGTTGACTGGCTTTCTAGAAAATGATTGGACAAATAAATTATGTTGTCTATGTTAATTATAGATTTTGTTAAGTAGACTGCCCAATGCAAGTACCTGCTTGGGATAGCAGGATTGAGAAAATTTTCAAGACTATATTGTAGACATGTAGTATAGACACCACCTGCAGAAATGGTGCATTCTCCACTGATTTGGGGATGTGTATAGTTTTCACCTGTGGACTGAGTGATGGTTGTTGCAGCATGACTTGATACTCTCTGCCTTTCCATTCCTTCGTTTCAGCTACTTTTTTTGTTAGTGGAAACATCAGTGCTAGAGAAAAATAAACAGCAGAGGAAATAAACAATATATTTAACTCTAACTCAAAATGAGTGTGTTTCATATATGTTTTCAAGTTTGTAATGCAGCTTCTGCTCATTTTAAAACATGAGTTTAATTCCCATTCCAGCTTTACACAACACACAAAATAAACAAATTCTTACAATATTTAGCAAGGTAGCTAAAACAGAGCATAATATCAATATTCCAATGAAGTCGGAAGTCAAATGGCTATTTTTTTTTTTGTCTCACCCGGGAAGTGTATTGGCTATTGAAAGTGTATTTGTGTCTCCTTCACACATTATGAAAATTCCCAAGATGTCTTCAAGTAAACAGAAAAGTAAAAACTTCTCCTTACCATTTGAATGAGTTTTTGGAAAATTATGTCCTAATGTCCTAAAAGAAATAGCACATTGAAAAGATACAGTTACATGCAATTAAATATACAATGAAATATGCAAATGTTAACTTTTGAATTTCTAATAGGTTTTAAAAAAGACACTATTCACTTTAACATGTGCTGCTTAAATTGGAAAAAGAAATCCAAGTGTACTTCCCATTGAAAGAAACTGGCAAAAATTGGATTATGAGAAGGAACACTTGTACCAGTTTAAATTGTGGTCTTATGCTTGTTAAATCAGTCATATGTCATTCAGCAGAACAAAGCTGTTTACACTTCGGAAGATAAAAATTTTTTTCTTCCCCTTTGTCACGTCCTCCATTTCCTGATTAGTTGGTTTCACTCTTTGCTGGAACCATTACTGTGTACTTACTCAAGGTAGAAATTGAAGGGCATGAAATTTAAAAAGAGGAAAGTCTTACTATAACTGTATAGAGTGTTTGTGAGGCTGCATCTGGAATACAGTTTTGGTCCCTGTATTTAGGGAAGAATATGCTGACATTGGAGGCAGTTTAAAAGAGATTCACCAGACTGATTCCTGGATTGAAGAGGTTGGCATGAAGAACACTAACTATGTTAGACCTTTATTCATTCAAGTTTAGATCATTAAATGAATGATCACTAGTATAAAAAAGGAAAGAATATTGTTCATCTTATTCTGTGACTGATAAATGAATGGTTGTTACAATAAGTGTTTCCTTTTTTAGGCTGGGATCTTGGCACAGATGACTGACTCTCCTAAAAAGAATCAGATTCATAGAGTCTAGAGACGTACAGCACAGAATCAGATCCTTTCATCCAACTCGTCATGCCCTACATAACCTAGTCCCATTTGCCAACATTTGGCCCATATCCCTCTAAACCTTTCCTATTCATATACCCATCCAGATGCCTTTTAAATATAATTATACCAGCTTCCACCACTTCCTCTGGCAGGTCATTACATACACACACCACCCGCTGTACAAAAAAGTTACCCCTTAGATCCCTTTTAAATCTTTCTCCTCTCATCTTAAACCTATGCCCTCTAGTTTTGGACTCCACTACCCTGGAGAAAAAGACCTTGGCTATTTAGCCTATCTATGCCCCTCATGATTTTATAAGCCTCTGAGGTCACCACTCAGCTTCTGACACTCCAGGGATAATACCACCAGCCTATTCAGCCTCTCCCTGTAGCTCAAACCCTCCAACCCCGGCAACATCTTTGTACTCTTTTCTTCACCCTTTACGCTTAACAACATCTTTCCTATGGCAGGGAGACCAGAATTTAACATGGTATTCCAAAAGTGGCCATAACCTATGTCCTGTATAGCTGCAATATGACATCCTAGCTCCTATTCTCAATACACTGACCAATAAAGGTAAGTGGACCAAATGCCTTCTTCACTATCCTGTCTACCTGCGACTCTACTTTCAAGGAATCCTTCAAGATTTTCACAATGAAGAAAGAGCACTTGTAACACTGTGCAATGGAGTAATTCAAGGTGCCGTGTCTCCAATGGTCATTCCACCTTAGATCCTGATGAATTACATTCAGGCTGCCTCACCAAATTCTTACTAGGGTTTGGTCCACAGTATAAATCTAATTATAATTTGGCACAAAATTAACAAGGGAGACATTGGATGAGTGGCATGCAAACAATTAAAATGCTAGTACAGGAACATAGAACTCAGGCACAGGATTAGCCTCTTGGCCCTTCATGCCTGCTCCATCATTCAATAAGATCACATCTGATTGGATTGTGGTCTCCATCCTACTTCTCTGACTGCTCCCCATAGCCCTCAACTCCCTCAACTATCTAATTCTGCCTTCAATAAATTTAAATGACATAGCCTCCACTACTTCCTGAGTGTGTTTTTGTGTTAATGAAAAAGGACATTGTTAGTGAAGAATAAAGGATACTTTATATGGATCTATACCTTATATGAAAGTGTATAATATTGCTACAAGATGTTCAGAATGGAAAAAAAAGTTCGTTCAGAGAAGTTAAACTTTGGCGTTTTGATAATAAGTATTCTCCAGCTTTCCACTATTTATGAAGCAATTGATCAGTAAATTATAATAAAAAACTTTGATTATTCTTATCTTTTACATAATAGAGAACCTTTGGAAAAATGAGCAGCCATAAATTATGAAGCAGAACACCAATTATAATCAAAGGAAAGCGTGAAATTAGAATTGAGATATAAATTGAGACAAGCTTTAAACTTACAAAGAAACACAGCCATTCAACTTCAAATACATACTTTATTATTGAAACAACTGCAGTATTTTCTTATTCTAAATAATCATTCAATATAACTTGGGCTTTACAGAAGGAATGTTTTAATGTGAAAACTAACAAACAACAGAAAATAGCTGCAATGTCTTTAAAATTTCTAAAATGTCAAATGTAGTAGTCCAGAACGATTCTAAAATAGGGCTACAATAAATATTCTCCCAAGTGTTTGATTTTCTGATGTTGAAATGAGACACTGGAAGTTAGAGAAGTCAGGATAATACCAGTCTACACAACACCTGACAATTTGCAATACAAACAGCAACAATGAGCACCATTATCCACCTCAATGTTTTCCATCACAGTATCTTCTTTCTTTTTAGCTGTAAATAGCCTCAGCAACCCAAGGGAAACAGGTAGCTCCATCACCGGTGGGGGAAAATCATAAAGGATAAACATTTCCCTTTTCACCTAGTACAGAAGACCAGCCAAGCATATTTAAAATATAATTAGTTATTTCAGTAAGTATCATTTGATTCCTCTTTTATAAATAAAATGCCTCTTACTTCAAAAGTTTTCCCATGCAAAATTTGCAATGGCAAACATACAGAGGTCAGCGGTTATAGAGACAGAAACAATGCTGGAATGAAAACTAACCAGAAACGGTGAGAAAACATTTAGGCGACAAGGTGCAAAATGCAACCAGAATAACATCAACTCAAATCAGCATTTATTTTCTCTTTTTAAGAAACTTCAAAATTGTGGAAATGAAATGAATTTCACCGTAATTCCCTTTGAGTACAGAAATAATCGTGTGACGGACACAAAATTGACATTCAAAGACATTTAGTGAAATGAGAAAAGTACATAAAACTAATCATCTTCCAATACCCGAATTATTAGATGAATAATACAAGTGAGCAACAAGTACCGTTTGCTTCCTGGCTTTGTCTATTTCAGCAGAACTCGTAGCTGCCTAAACCAATTTGAATGGAGAATAAAAACAACAATTAACAGTGGTTCTTCTTACCTTTTCATGCATGATTGCTGCAGACCCTGGCAATCAGAATCTCGTTCGAGAAAGGTAACCTGTTTCCTGGATTCCATTAAGGAAAATTTACGCCTTAGTTTCTCCCTATACCAGACCCACAACAATGGAGTTTCTGAAACACTGAGTAACGGCTGGCAGCTTAGTGAGAGCCCCCGTTATTGCTGAGTTAGCATCCAGGATACACATGCGCACAGTATAACGTTCAAGACAATTTAAAGCGTGTTTTTTTTTAAGCAGAATGTAGCAGCGTCAGATTAATGAGAACTAAACATACTTAGATTTTGCCAGTTAGATTGTGCATTTTTAAGTGATTTGAGACAGGGGATTTTTTAAGGTACTGCCAGTGTTGTTTATTATATAATTGTTTTAATAATACGTCGCAAGTAATTGTTACATGTTATTGACTAGGGCGGATTTAATTTTATTTTCATAAATTATGACTTAAGTTTGCTAATAGTTTTTATTGTTTTTCTTTTCTGACCTAATTTTCATGTTTGATGTGTGGGGCACATCGTGGGTGTATCTTACAAGGCCAAAATCAAGTTCAGCAATCCTCCTGAAAGCGGAATTCCCAGATTGTTAGCACTTTTCAAACAGAGGTAGCTTTCTTGGCTCCGTCAGAATGTGAGATGGTCACAGATCCAAGGAGTTTCTGTATGGTGAGGTAGCTGGAGCCAGATGACCAGTGGTACCAAACCTCTGCTTCAAGAATACTTGCAAGTGTGACATGAAGACTTCAAATGTCAATGAATGCACGTGGAAGTCACTGACTAATGACAGAGGAAATGACAAGACAATGACAGAGCGTGGGGTGCAATGCACCACCATGATGACCAGCACCCATAGCAGCACTTGCAGCAAAACCTGTCTCACAGGGATTAGCCTCTTCAGCTGTGTGCACATGAAGACACCCCATCTGGAATGAATTTATTTGCTCAATGGTCATTACCTTTTGTGGATGAAAGGATGCTGACCAATGATAAAATTGACATCCAAACTTGATATTAAAATTCTCATTTGTTTTCAGATCTCTCCATGGCCTCTCCTCTCCTATATCTATAATCTCCACACAAACCTCCAACATATCTACATGCATTTAATTCTGGCTTCTTGTGCAGACCTGATTTTAATCATTCCAACATTGTTGGTCATAGATTCCAACTCTGGGATACCCTCCTTCTACCTGTCTACATCACTTCCTTCCTTTAAGACAGGTCTTAAAACCTCATTCTTAGTTCAAGCTTTTGATCATCTGACCTGATGTGACTTAATTTCATATTCTGTTTTAAAAGTTTCCAGTGAAATGCCTTCGGACATTTTATTAAGTTGTTACTGTTTTTATCAGTGATGAGACTCAACTGCAGTAACAAGTTTACAAAAATAAATGATGAATTTCAATGAATTCAGCTCCTACCATATTGTAACAGTTACTCATGAACTGTAATCGGAGCTTGCAATTAAGTTGCTTCTATTTGCAATAAATGTCCAGCAGTTTGCAACTCTACTGTAGATTACTACATCACAATAGTTGAGGTCGCTGTTATCCTCATAGAAAGTAAATCACATATACTTCTATTCTTACATATTTAAGAATATCTCCATTGAAACCTAGATTGCATTTATACTCTCATGGAATGTAGATTTCAATATGCCCAATTAGCAAGTAGATCATATTTCCACATACTGAAATATTGATCACATAGTAAATTGACCATATCCATTGGGAAAATTTCTTCGTTGAAATGTTGATTGAATATAACAGATTGTTTAAAAAATGATTGTCAAGATGCCCATGGTTGCAAGCTTCTTAATAGTTTGCAAATATCCAGATTACAACATGGATGGTTGTGTTAGTTGAAGATCAGTCATTTCAGCTCCAGGACATCTCTGCACGGGTTCCTCGGGGAGTGTCTATTGACTGACCATCTGTCAGAAGTGGGGATGTTCAGTGACGATTCCAAAATATTTAGCACCATTCACAACTCCTCAGATACTGAAGCAGGCCATGTCCGAATGTAGCAATACCTGAACAATATCTACATTTGGGCTGAAAAGGACGTAATATTCGTTCCACAGAAGTACCAGGCAATGCCATCTACAAGAAAAAATCTCACCATTGCACATTGACAATCAATGGCCTTGCCATTGTTAAAACCCCAACTACCAAATTCTTGGGGATTACTATTGACCAGAAAAGGAATTGGACTTGCAATACAAATATCAGATTAGAGGCTAGGAATCTTGCACTGAGTATGTCTGTGGGATGCTCTGGGCAGGGGGGGGGGGGGAGGTCAGCGTGGATTTGATGGGCCAAATGGCCTGCTTCCACACTGTAGGGATTCTGTGAAAACCTGTTCACCATTTACAAGGACCAAGTCAGGATTATGACTGAATATTCTCCAGTTGCTTCTTGGTTGCGGTTCCAACAACCCTTAAGAAGCTTGACACTATCCAGGACAAAGCATCTAGCTTGATTGGCACTGCACCACAAACATTCATTCTTTTCACTACCCACTCTCGGTAGAAATATTACGTACCATCTACAAGACGCAGTGCAGAAATTCACCAAGGTTCCTTAGACAGCACCTTCCATTGTCACTGCCATCCAGAAGGACAAGGGTAGCAAGTGCATAAGAACACCTCCACCTGCTTACAGTTAGGAAACTAAATTGCCCAAATGTTCATAATCTTGCTCATTGGAAAGTATGATGCATAAATTTATAGTAATAAATTGCACATATCTTTCTGGAAATGTTGGGAGAAAAACCATTTATTCATTCTAATATCTGGGTAATCTTGATACAGTTTGAACTTTTCTCAATGCCTTAAAGGACAGCGTGGTGATAGTTCAGGGTCTTATGAACATAAACTGTGTCTTTTTTACTTTGATTGAATAAAGGCAAAGGGAAATTTGCCATAGTGTCAGAAGGTGATAGGGCTGCTTTCTCATTAAAGAGAAATGATTGGTTAGTGATGAGTTTAACGAAGGATCACCATGCTTCAGGTTGTTGCCCATCTCTGAGAGACAACAGTACATACATAGACGAAGATACAGTGGAGACAATTAGAGCTTTATAAAACGCAATTAATTTATTAGGTATTTAAATGAATAACACACACTTTCAACTACATGAGATTTCTCAATCGTTCTCTTTTATTACCCTGATTTCTATAACTAAACTCAAATGTTATTACCCGAGAGAGTTAGCAGCTGGCCAGGCTGAAACTCTGCTCAATGTCTTCATCGTGCCTCCTGACATAGGGTACTTTCCTACAATGTGAATCTTTGAAGTGCTGCTGAACAACGGGATTTCTTCTGGGTCTTTATACACAAATCTCTGCGCCAAGTGTATGCCTTATTTGGAATTATCCATGCACGTGAGCAAACCTGAATGTTTCGTCCAAATATATGCCTTATTTGGAAGAGACAGCGGTTACTGATTTCCTGCAGCCTTAGCTCTCAGCTGACTTGCATGACTCAGCATAATTCCATTCAGACAACAGTCCATTGTAAAGCCTCTTATCAATTCCTATTATCTTCAGTTTTATCTAACAAGGTAAGGGGTGAGAGGTTGAGAAGGCAGGACCTTCATGGTGACCTCAGCTGGTGTAGGAATTAAACCCATATTGTTGGTGTTGCTTTGCATCATAGGTTACCCATCCAACCAACTGAACTAACCAACCTCCTTTGGGTGAATGGAAAGCTCAGATCTAACAATAACTTCCAAATATGGTAAATTGGTTCCTGAAGTATAATTGGGGTTTTCATTCCATCTTCTGTCAATTTGCGAACTTTAAAATATTTATGGCTTGTCACTTTGCACAGTCTAAATTACTGACCAAATATATTTACAGATAAACTTTCAGGAATAGAAACATGTATGGAAGATGCGTCGGGGTTTTTTATACTGCATTGGTGTGAAGCTGCTTTAACCTTGCAACAACACGAAAGAATTGATCTGAATTCGAGGTGTAGTAGAGAAAAACTTTGGAATTCAGTCATTTCTGTTCCTTTTACTGAAGCATTCCTGATTTTGAACTCTGGGTGCATTTATAATATAACTGCAGCAGTAATGAAAAAGAGATTACTTTGCATCAAGGCTATAGCTGTAGCATGAATGCAAGAGAAGGGACTTAGCCAGTAAATGTCTAAAAAGAGAAAAGACAGATTAATGTTTTGGTTTTGGACTCATTAGTAAACATAGATTCTGTTTAAAAGAGATTTTTAAAATCCTTTTCAACCAAACGAGAAATACCTATTCTCTGTAATAAATATGTATGTGCTATTTATGAAGCTGTATCTCTGGATTTTAATGGCATAACAAAATAAGAAATAAGAATTGGCCACCAGACTCGACATTTAAGCACTGGGGCTTTTTGAAGATGATTAAGCATGCAGAATCCTAATAGCTATAACATTTTAGTCACCACATACTGATTACCTAAGAGTCATGGTCTATCCCTGCAACTTTTTGATATTGTTACTAATCTTTCTTTTTAACACAATAATGATTAGAAATTAGCTATTAGCCTTTTCAATTGCCGCAAACCAAAGTCACATAATAAAGCATTGTAGAATATGTACCAGGAAATGTCAGAGAATTCTACTTTCCCAACATTATTGATAATGCATTATTGTTTACAGTAATTTTAATTACCCAAACTAAAATGCAGGTAGAACAAAAGAAAAATTAAAAATCTGCTGACACATAAGGGTACATTTTCTGAGTCAGGTTCTCAATGTGAAGCTTCATTGAACAGGACTAAAAAAGAGAGTTGTTGTAATTCTAATACCCAATTTTGTGATCTGCACTTCCTTGAGCAAGAAATTCATAATAACTCTTATAGTCTCAGAACAGCCAATTTTTCATGCAGCATGTTTCAGTCCTTACAGTGAAAGATACTTTGAAATTCTATTTATACTAAAGAGTACAGGGGAGGATTAAGTACCAACACCATCACTAACGAAGTTGTAATAGATAAACTAATGAAGCTAAGGGTAGATAAGTCCCCTGGCCCTGATGGCTTGCATTTTAGAATTCTAAAAGAGATAGGTACAGAGATAGTGGGCACATTGGTGGTAATTTTCCAAATATCATTGGATTCAGAAAAAGTATCAGAAGATTGGGAAACTCTGATGTGACACACTTGTTCAAAAAGAGAGGGAGGCAAAAAGTAGGA